CCCCTACAAAATATTAATAAAGTTATTAATAAAGACCCTTTGAACCGCCAATACAATAACGCTCTTTAAAAACCGTAATACTTATCTTGTAACGCTTCTTAAACGATCGCCTTGACCTTGTGCCAAATCGTTAAACCGCCTCTATTATCTTTGCGGAACGTTACGCGGCATAACCCTCTTTCTAGCGACAATCCGTCGCATTTGCCCCCATCTCTGGACTCGACATTAAACCTGTCACAATATGCAATTGGTCAGCATCGACTGTCACATACATTGTTACCATTTAGCACTAATTAAAGTATAATATTTAATAAATAATATTTTATCACATAAAGTACAATGAAATCATTGAATTCATGAATAATATCCTGTACCGTATCGTCGCGAAATAACACCCCGGGGCGTTATTTAGGGGCACATTGCTTGAATTCTCATGTGAACTTTGAGAACACAATTTTGAAACTGTGTACAGCATTTATAACTATATTGTCATGGATAAAATGAACCATGACTAAAGAAACGTGAAACACTACGTCACCATCGATAATCGTATTCAAGGTTTCAGTCGTATTGATAAGTAGGTTAAAGAAAAATCGGTCAATAAAATATTAACGCATATTTACAATATAATTTAATTTTTAACATTTAAAGCAAAAAATTTTGTCCATATATAGTAGGGCCGTAAGATCGTAATAAAGAATAAGCAGAAAAATAAGAACTGAGTGCTGTCAAATTAAACTCTGTAAGTATCAGAGTTGCTTTAAAATACATGGATCAATTTTTTTTAGACACAAATTGTATTGGATGTGATGGATAATTTATGTAATTTTTATGTTGATTTATGTTAGGTCGATACAGAGAACTTAATTTTTTTTTTACTTATAGGTTTTAATTGTGCCGTGTTCAAGATTAAGTACGTACTCAACAAGTAGTATGACACAAGTATAGACTGAAATTTCACTCTTCACAATATAAAACAGTATATTGTTTGTCACGCAGGACATTTTCCATTGCGATTTACGGTTGTATGTACTGTACCTAATGTTGTATAGTGGTACGGTCGTACCATATATCATGTGCAGGGTTTGTTTAATTTTTTATTTGATTTGCATGCACACCGCATAATTGCAATTAACTTAATGGTAATCAAAAAAAGTTTCAATTATAGCTTAACTTCCTGAATCTTTAGTAGAATGTCAAGTAACAAAAAGGTTCTCAGTTATGATGCAAACAAGAAAATGAAGAGAGCAATCAGCCTCCAAAAATGGCTCGACAAAACTTTAAATGACGGTGATGTCTCTGAAATTGAATATTCTTATGAAAATAGGCAAGAGGTTGGGAGAGGTAAAGTATTCTAATTTGTTCATATTTTATTAAGCACTAACTAATGAACTTGATTTTATGTAATTAAAATGTATAAGGTGCATTTGGCGTTGTTTATTCGGCGTTATATGATGGGAAAAAGTTTGCATTGAAAAGTTTTACCGATGGCGTAATGAATAAAGAAACAACTGACGGAATAAATAAAGAAGCAACCGACGGAATGAATAAAGAAGCAACAAAGGGATTTATCAAAGAGGTCCGTCATTCGTTATTTTCAAGATTTTATCTTTATCAAAATCTAATATCTTTTTATACATATTTTAGTTTAAAAACCTGCATGCTATTAATTCACATCCTATTAATTCACATCCTAATATCAATAAATTCTATGGAATAACACGCGGTATATTTCATAAGCTAAATAATTATTTTTAAATAATCTTTTCTAACCATTGTCTTAATTAGATCCTGAAACAAACAAATTCATGCTGGTACTACAATTTGCCAATGGAGGGAACCTTCGGCAATATTTAAAGAAGAAATGGAACAATGGTAAATTTGAAATTAAGTTAAGCGAAATCATCAACATTGCGGCACAAATTACTGATGGAT